ACAGAATGCCTAGGAAGAAGAGCTGGAAGAAAGCTGTTGTAAAGAAGAAGAATGCATGTAAGGCAGATGTGGGTGACAAGTACCCCACAGATGTTGGCCACGTCCAACCATCTGTGCCTCTGGGTGTAGGCCACGTCCTAACACCTATGACATCTGTACCGGCAGGGGTGATCTCTACCACCCCTGTGACAGTGGTCTCTGCGGCTCTCCCTGAGACCACTTTGAATCAGACTTTATCTCAGATTATTACTCAGAATTCATCTCAGTTGCTTACTCAGAATATCTCTCAGATTACAACTCAGAATATTACTCAATTTACAATGAACAATATTCCAAAAGAAACATCACATGCACTACAAGGTAATTGTATGCATCAGAATTCAGATAATCTAGTGTTTGGGTCTTTCCATCAGGGAAGCATGAGGTTTTCATCATTTTCAAGAGGCAATCAGTATACATGCAATTCACTTATGATGTTGTCAAATTCATATGAATTTTTTTCATTCACTAGTTCCTTTTTAGATCAAACTCTGCTCAAGGGAGATAATTTGTACAACACAGTTGATAAGACTCTTCAGAGTGCTGGAAAACTGAGAAGTAGATTACTGATGTTTGATGAACTACCAATTCATATTGATTCTGGTGAAAATCACCACATGGTTGATAAGTTTGATACATTGTTTGGCTTATTAGTTACAGATGATAACAAAAATCAAATTCAAACTCTACATGAATGTCTGGATTATCTAGATATGTATTAATAATGATTGGCTCGATATGTTCAGCACTGTACAAAGCTTCAGACAATGATTTTTATTTTTTTGACTCGCATTCTCATGGGGAAAATGGTTTGTCTGATTGTGATGGAAAGTCTCTGATGAGACACAGTTGCTGTTTAAATGATTTGTTAGGGTTTCTGTATGCGATGTATGAAAGTTTGCACATTGAATTTGCAACTGAATTTGAAGTGATGCCTGTTGCCTTTCATACACTTATTCATAGCTTCCCAAGAAAAAATCAAAGTGTACATCAATATTGTAGATTAGATCAGTCAACAACAACTGCTTTCACAAACAAACAATCTGTTGGTAGTAATACTGGTCACTTAAAAACAACAGAGATAAAGAAAGATAAAAAGGAGTACATGAGAGAATATATGAGAAACAAGAGACAAGATCCAGATTTTAAAGGAAGAGAAAGGGACAGCAAGAGAAACAAGAGACAAGATCCAGAGTTTAAAAACAAGGAAAGAGAGGGTATGAGAAACAAACGACAAGATTCAGAGTATAAAGGAAAAGAAAGAGACAGCAAGAGAAACAAGAGACAAGATCAGAGTTTAAAGACAAGGAAAGAGACAGTATGAGAAACAAGAGACAAGATCCAGAGTTTAAAGACAAGGAAAGAGGCAGTATGAGAAACAAGAGACAAGATCCAGAGTTTAAAGACAAGGAAAGAGACAGCAAGAGAAACAAGAGACAAGATTCAGAGTTTAAAGATCAGGAAAGAGACAGTATGAGAAACAAGAGACAAGATCCAGAGTTTAAAGACAAGGAAAGAGACAGTATGAGAAATTAGAGACGAGATCCAGAGTTTAAAGACAAGGAAAGAGACAGCAAGAGAAACAAGAGACAAGATCAAGAGTTTAAAGACAAGGAAAGAGACAGCAAAAGAAACAAGAGACAAGATCCAGAGTTTAAATACAAGGAAAGAGACAGTATGAGAAACAAGAGACAAGATACACACTACAAAGAAAAGGAAAGAGACAGCAAGAGAAACAAGAGACAAGATCCAGAGTTTAAAGACAAGGAAAGAGACAGTATGAGAAACAAGAGACAAGATCCAGAGTTTAAAGACCAGGAAAGGGACAGTATGAGAAACAAGAGACACGATGCAGAGTTTAAAGACAAGGAAAGGGATAGTAAGAGAATTAAAAGTCAAGAAGAAGAGTACCGGCATGATGAGCGAATAAGAGATTTAATGAAGAAAAAGGAAATGAGACAAAATCCTTACCAATTAGAAAAAGAGAGATTGAAGAAGAAAGAAAAAAGAAAAAATGAAGAATATAGAACTTCAATCAATATTGCTGCAAAACAATCAAAAGCACACTCACGAGAGAGTTTGGACTATATTGAAACTGAAAAACAAAGATACAGAAAAAGTAAATTTGGAGTTGATGCAATGGAGTGTGTTGACAATTTTCACAAACAATGTAAGATTAGGTCCTGTATTTGTATGCACATGGTTTTTACTAATACAAAGTCTGTAAATGGACAGGAATGAATATGCAGCACTTGCAATTCAAGCTTAAAAGAAAGTCGAACTCCAAAACTCTCTTTTGCAAATGGAATGACATGGGTACAAAAACCAAGTGAACGAAATTTGTTACCATTGGAAGAAAGACTTGTATCCTTAAGAATTTCTTTCATGCAGATAAGAGAATTACCAAGAGGAGTGCAGTATTCTGTAAAAGGAAATGTTGTAAATGTGCCAGTTGACTTTCAACCAACAATCAATAGTCTTCCCAGGAGACTTGATGAAAATATCACAATACCTGTGAAGTTAAAAAGAAAACTATCTTTTCAGCACTCTTATTGTCATGAAAATATCCGACATACAAAGGTTCTTATTGCTTTACATTGGTTAATGAAACATAGTGAATATTATCAGAATGCAAACATAAACATAGAAGACAACTGGTTCCATGAGGTTACAAATTCAGCAAGTGAAGTAATGAGAGAGTTTATAGAGGGCCACACCAAACAAGATTCAGCAATGCGTGACCAATCAGATGAATCAGACTCTGGTGAATTCTGTGAAGTTGATAGTGGTAAGGATGGAAATTGTGATACACTACTAGACAGCGACTCATATGATATGAATCAGATCTTCACATTTGCTCCAGAAGAGGGACAACGTCCACTTAGTTTGTATCAAGATCAAATGGCCGAGTATTTGTCATTTCCAACAATATTTTGTGGTAAAGGAAGAGTAGAAAACAATCAGCGTCAAGTATCTGTTTCATATGCTGATACTGCCAAGTGGGAATTACGAAGTGTTGATGACGTGCTGCACAGTCGGTGCCAAACTTGTTTTTCAAATTGAAAAAAATTCAACTAAAACAGGTAACAGACAAATGCAATTTAGCTCTTAGAAAGTGCAAAACAAAGGAGAAAACCTTTACTGCAAATGAAATAAGAAATCCTGATCAAATTAATAACATTGTCAGACACAATGAGGGATTTTATGTATTCAAACAGTTGAGAAATTCTCCTCCATATCTTGAAACAAGGAAGAAAGATGTTTTTGCAATGATACGACAGCTTGGTCTTCCAACTTGGTTTATGTCCTTTTCTGCTGCAGATACACGATGGAATGACCTCATAAGGGCACTAGGAGTCTTAAATGATGACAGACAGTACACAGATTCAGAAATGGAGAGCATGACGTGGACTGAAAAATCAAAATTATTTCAAAAAGATCCAATTACATGTACAAGGTACTTTGATCATCGTTTCAGAACTTTTTTGAATACTGTGATGAAGAGTGATCATCATCCTATTGGCAAGGTACAGGACTTTTTCTATAGGGTTGAATTTCAACAAAGGGGATCACCACATGTTCACATGATTGTTTGGATTGAAAATGCTCCAAAATATTTGGAAAATGGTAGCAAGGAAATTGTTGCATTTGTTGATAGCTACTTAAAATGTGAAAGAAATACAGAAGACAAGGTGCTAGAATTACAGGTGTATAAACACTCTCAAACATGCAAAAAAAGAGGAAAGGCTGTTTGTAGATTTGGATTTCCACTTCCACCACTTCAAACTACAATGATATTAAAACCTTTGGACAGTGAAATTGAGAAATACAAGAAGATGTATAAAGCTATGCAGGACAAAATGAATGAATTTAAAAATGGATGTGATATAAGCCTCAGTTTTCAAGAGTTCTTGCAGGATGTAGTACAGCTATCTGAAGATGATTATATCAAATGCATCAGAAGTTCCTTGAGAGGACCCAAAGTATTTCTGAAACGCAAACCCTGCGATCTTAGAGTGAATGCTTACAACAGTACCCTTCTTCATGCATGGGCAGCTAATATTGACTTTCAGTATGTCTTGGACCCATATGCTTGTGCAATGTACATTGTCTCATACATAAGTAAATCCCAAAGGGTATGAGTGATCTTCTGAGTAGAGCTGCAAAAGAAGCAAGAGAGGGCAATCTTGACATTAAAAGACAAGTTAGACACATTGGAAATCAATTTCTCAACAGTGTTGAAGTTGGAGCACAAGAAGCAGCATATCTGGTTTTGCAAATGCCACTTACAAAAGCATCAAGAGATGTAATGTTTATAAACACATCTCCAGTTGATGACCGTGTAATACTTGTTAAACCTGATTCAGAACTTGAAAAGTTGAATGCCAACTCCACAGACATAGAATGCAGTAACATAGTCAAAAGATATGCAAAACGTCCAAAACAACTTGAAAACTGGTGTTTAGCTGACTATGTATCACAGATAGATGTAGTTTTCCAAAAAAAAAATATAACTGAGTTGTCTGAAATTGAAACAAATGATGATGAGACACACCAGTCAGAAAATGAAAACAGTGGATCTGATACTGAAAATGAATTAATGATGACAGCACATTAGTTGTGTTGAAAAATGGAATCAAAATCAAGCGCAGAAAAACGCCAAGAGTTTTAAGAGCCATTCTCTATAAGCACCAAAATTTGATGGAAAGCCACAGTCACCGATTTTAATAAAACTTTGGTAAATTAATACATACTACTAGCCAAGTATACTGGTATATGCAAAATGACGGGATACTGCTGTTTCCATGGAAACCAGCAAGTCATACTTTTGTCACATTTGCTATTATTTCCTTTATAATGTATGTGGCTGAAACTCATAAACACAGCAACATAATTCAACAAAACTAATCCTGTAAAAAGATTATAGTTATATAAGTTAACCTTAAAAAAAATGGAGGTGTGTTATTTAAAATAAAGAAAATAAAGCCTTGTAAATTTGCTGTTTTTCAAGAGAAAAGTGCTAAATTTTATCAAGAGTTATTTCCCTTCGTGTAACTCTTTTGTGTTTCCTGTGAAAAAAGGGATGTTTTTTGCCAGCAGAAGACTTTCAGATTGGTTTGCTGCTTCGTTTTTACTACAAATTCCACTTGTCAGAAGATGTAATTAATTTGAATTTAGTTGATATGAATAATAAGGACATAATACTAACAGAATGTGGTATTTTGCCGTCCAGTTCTGAAAATAGGGAAATTTGTTCCACACATTTTTCTCTGCCGTTGAAACAAAACAGTGACTGAGTGATGTACGAAGAAGAAATTTGGTGTCAAGTGCCATTCCTTATTTTAAAAAAAATCTGGTGAATCATAATTCAATTCCATGAGAAGCAGAAATCCAACAGACTGATCCCAGTCAATGGTGTACACTCAAAATACACAGAGGCTAGAGGACTTGTTCTTCCTGGAACCCGTGAGTATTGTACAGTCAGTGTTTACTAGTATGTATAGTAGAATATTTATTGTTTTAAAGTGCACATTTCTGTCATTGAATAAATGTTCTTATTAGGGTTTAAATGACATGAATAATGTTTAAACAAATGTTAATATAAATTTTGATTTAAAAAATGGTTTGGGGGATGCTTAAATTATTTTAACAAGCATATAGTACTTTTAAAAAAAACTATATTAAAACAAGATTTGTATGAATGATATATCTTTTGATTATCTGCTCAAATAAACTTAATTCAATTTGAACTTTTAGCTCTATGCACCAGCCTTTCTCATGAAGTTGAATGCTCAAACAATATGAAGAGGATGAAAATGTAGCTGACAAACAAAACAGGAAATATGATCAGGTTTGTAATTTATTATTCATTATGCAAGCTATCATTCATAGTTTAATTTGTCATTTAGAAATTTCATAATAATAATAAACAGTTTAAAAGTAAACAGAAAACAAATTGGAATAAAGATGTCTTTAATGAAAAAAAAAATTATACAAGACATCATCTAACAATGATTACAAGGTTACTGGTACATACGTGGTCCTAGTATTGGAAATATAGTAATCAAAAATAAATTATATGACTGCCGTCACGGGAAAAGGGCCCTTAAGGTCAAATTTTCACAAATTGACTTTTTGGTGAATTTTGATAGCCGCACTCTTTCTGAATGCAAATATGCATAAATTTTGAAAATATCTCACTTTTTCGGTATTTTATGAGCATTTTAGTGAGGCGCTCCAAAAATAACTTTGACGTTACTCAGTGAAAACGTAATGACGTCGCCTGTGTCTAATTCAATTTTCAAAAAATCTTGAAATTGCATGTTATTTAAATAACATCAGTCGTTTTGAGAATTAACAACTGAGAAAGTATTTATTTTTTTTCCCAAGCGACTAGTATCTAACTATTCCTAAGGGATATCGTATGTTGTTACTATTTTCATGCTAATTTTAGAGCAGATCTGGTAAAAAAAAAAAGGGGGGGGTCTAGACAGAATCTAGGAACGCTTTATAGCATATTCAGTAGAAAATAGTATTTTTTATATCCATATAAATTATTCTTTTTAGTTTTTATATACAATAATCTAATTCAATTTATAAAATATATAAAGCACCTGTAACACTTAAAGATTAAAAGAAATATATATAGAGAGAGAATCCGATGCAGAAGGACACCGCGCGCAAAACGGGGCACCCCTCGCAAAAAGCACATCGATCCCGATATTTAAAAAAAATCCGATGAGACAGCATCCACTCACCAGCATACACGCACGTAACTTTATTCCCTATAGCTGTTACGATAAAAAAAAAATTTTCTTCTGTATCACCGAAGAATTCAATTGAGAAATAATAAATTCAGATACGCAAAGATATGTAAACTTGTTTTTAAAAAAAAGTTTATTCCTTTTACAAATATTCATGAAAAAATATACGTTCCCTTCTTCCATGCAAGGAAGTAAGGAGTAAATCCTTACGTCGCGGGTTCGAATCCCACTGTGGGACGTGGAGACCCTTCGGATGAGACCGTATAAACCGTGTTCTCGAGTCGCAGTAGGTGCTGGCACGAAACAGATCACTCCATGCTCAATGGCCCTGAGTGCCGAGTAAAGGACAAAATTTGCAGCTCTCCATCGGCAGGTGGTGGCGTCTCCATATGAGTGAAAAATTCTCCAGAGGGACGTTAAACAATATACAATCAATCTTCCATGCAAGCGGATTTTAAAATTTTAACGTTTTTTGAATAGTTTATTCAAAATGTTTAAAGCTCTAAGTTTCCATTGTTTATACAATTCATTTTCTTCACCTGTCTTAGTTATGGAGTAGAAACGTAGTAAATAGGCTAATAAAGGACAAATGAAGCTTAATGATTTATATACTGTACCTTACTTTAAATTGAAGCTTTTTTGAATTTATACCTCTATTTCAAACCGTCTTTTAACTTCTTATTTTTTTTTTAAGTAAATCACAATTAAATCGTTTAGAAATATTTCTGCACATTAACCTTTTTTTTAATTTTGTGGCACCTGTACCCTGTTTCACTTAAACACAACATTTGTATATTCTTACAAGGACCGCTACTATGATCTCAAAAGAATGATTTATGTATAATATTGTTTAATTTAATCAAAGGGATGGGAATTGTGCTGTTCTAAATTTTAACGAAATCTATTTGAAACTGATCATGAATGAATACTTGTATATTTTTACGCAAGAACGGCAGGCAATTAGGAAGCCATTTCAGTTGGGAGGGGGGGGGGGGGGGGTAACTATATTTTTTTTAGTTGTGGGCACTTTAAACCACCAAATTTTCCTTGACAATCAAAACAATTTTTTAACGGCCACGAATGGTCATCTATTAATTTTCCTCCGTGACAACGGCTAATTAACTTGATATATGATAAGTTTTTCTCATTTCGATGCGATTGTCTCATCCAATAATGAACTATTACGTCCAACATTCGTTAATGCTTTTTGTATGAGGCGATGCTGTTAATTAAGTAATAGTATACCGCTCAAATTTGACTCTCTTTCGCTGAAAATATTTAGGCGAGCCATTTTCCCATGTTATTACTTCAGAACATACCAAACATATCAAAATTAAAAAAAAAACAATTTGACTCGTACCTTCGCCTCTCCCCACACAACTCGTTTGAAAAGGGAAGGGGGTTCAGTTAGGAAAAAAAATAAATCTACCTTAAAAAAACCTACGCAACCAAAAAAAAGGTGTGTGTGTGTGTGTGTGTCAAACTCGAATCCAATTTCGCCGTTGCGGAGGGGGGTAGGTTCAGTCTTTTTTCAGTAACAAATTTTCTTAATCAAGCATTATACAGTGCCTTATTCTTTTGACATATAGTGCACGAATTTGACTATATGATGCAACAAAAAATGTGTGTGTGTGTGTGGGGGGGGGGGGGGGGGGTTGGGGTTGGCGGGCGGACTTTCAATGCACACCCCAACCTCCTTTGCTACTTGCCTGCGACTGTTATTGCCAATATTTTATTTAAAAGAAGAAAAATTTGTGTTTGTTTATTAATTACTTTTCGTAGAGTCATGTTAGGATTATGATATAAAGTCTTATCTCGCAACTTTAAAAAATTAATGTCGTGTATTTTGATACATGTATCAGAGTTGAAGATTTCAACGCAAAATGTGACTTATTTATTTCATATCATGAATAGTCAGTGATATATATTTCACGCTCATTAAAGTTTTTAAAGATTTTAAACATTTTCATAACTTTTGGAAATTACATCAATAACAATTTGTCACATACTTTTTTGCTCTTTCAGTGATCTATTTGATGTTATCCAGAAATTTGTACGTCTTTTTGCTTAGCAATAATTTTCCACCTTTTGGTTTATAAATATCCTCATTCATGATAGCACTGTATATTGTTAATTTCTTCAACATTGGGTATAGTGCTTTTGGGAAAAGTCTACAATAGCTGTATTTAATTTCTTAACATATTGCAAAATAGATTCCAGTGGGATTTCATTCATTTATTTCATCGGAAAAATTTCAGAAATTTGAAACAATAGTATTTTCTATCATACAATTCCTTTGAATGTATTTATTTGATCATTTTAAATTAGTTTTTAAAACAAAATTTATTTTAGCAAAATTTTAATGACATCCCCATCATCCGTATTTTGTTCCCTTAGCATATTCTACCTATTACTGTTAATTTAGTAAAAAAAAAAATATATATTGTTTATGTTAAAGGTTTGGATCTCCCATGTTACCAGTATCTTTATTCAATCAAAGAGGGAATATGTTTTTTAGCTTTAACTTTTACCGGTTTTTTTGTTCGGAGATTTTTGGCTTGTACCCCCACCCCCCCCCCCTTTTTACACACATTTTAAAATCCACAGTTCAACGAAGGCTGGCTCTCGGGGTATATCAGTATGATTAACTATGGATTAAAACTGAAATGGCTAAATACGTTTTTAATTATGGTATATATTTTTCAGAAAAAAAAGTAGTGCTAATAAGAACGGTAATTACTATGAATGCATAGATCTCTCTCTCTCTCTCTCTCTCTCTCTCTCTCTCTCTCTCTCTCTCTCTCTCTCTCTCTCTCTGAAAAAAAATATATATGGAATATAACTTTTAATATTAAGACTTCTTCAAAATTCAATTAAGTGTTTGTAAATTGCTCCGAAAACAAATATGCAGCATCTTTAATTTAGTCATGCATATACACATCGTTTTGATCGCTGTTCCATAGCTAGAAACGTGTATGTCCAGTACCCGTATATCTACATCATGTTAAATACATAAACAAAATTATGAATAAATTTACGTACTAAATTGTAAATATATAATATACCTACTTAAAAAGTCCGCATTAAGTTTCAAATTTTTCTTACGCTTTGAAATTCAATTTTATTTCTTCTTTACAAAATGCAGTCAACAAAAATTACTTCCGTGTTTACAATACCGCGACTTTGACGTCGTTTTCTGAGCATTGTGACGTCAAAAGATAAGGGCCCTTTTATTATATTATTATTATTATAATTTACACCGAATAATTTAATTTATTTGACCAAATATTTTAGCATTATATATGTTATGTGTATTTTACAATGTTCCAGGATAAACAATGTTGTAACAGTAAACACTATATATGTTTTTGTCACTACAGTAGAAGGGGTGCTTATTGTGCTTATTTATTTTAGGCTCAGCCACACCTTAATGAACATAAAGAGCTATTCCATTCAAGGCCATGATATGTTCTAACAGCTGATTCAATGAAAAAGGTACTACATATTGTAGATCTCCATTGCAGGAGAAATGCCACACCATAATTTTAATAGATCTTTTAAGACATCCCTTTTAAACTATGCCTGTATCAGCCTTGAGAGACATGGGTATTAGCTTTTAATTATTTTATTCAATTTATTGGACATTTTTCAGAGAAAATAACTTTAAAAACTTTTATTTGCAAACAAAATGCTTATGGTTTAAAATTTGATGTTTATTATTAAGCGAAAAACATGAAGGTCTATATTGCATGGTTAAAATCTTCATAAAACTATTGTCACAACTAAAATGAACAATTTTAGTAGTCAGTCATTTTAAAAAAAAATTAGATTAAATTGCAAAATATTTAAGAAATTTTTTTTTCGATATTTTTACCAATCCTGATCAAATTTAAATAATCCCAAGGACGATTATCAAATTAAAAATACAGACATCATTTTCTTGCCTTGTTTATGTATATTAACTGCTACTAAGAATTCCATTTGGTTGTCAAGGTCATTAACTTTTTAACCCACATTACATACAATTTTATTTCAACATTTTTTTGTCTTAAAGATCTATGAAACAAAATTATGATGAGGCATATTTCCTCATTTTAATTTGCACTACACTGTATTAATTAACCAGCACTGATGAAGTTTAAACAGGAATAACAGATCTGATTTTAAAGAGCTGTAAAAAAAGTATGTGAGCCAATGCACAATAGTAATACGCTCACTCTGATGTGAATATACACTTATAGTATCATGTTAATGTTAAACAACTTCAATATTTAAACGGGCAGATGCAGGGAAATAGTAAGATTACAGAAATGAATTTAATCCTACTATATTGCATGCCTCAGCAAAGAATGTGCTCAAGTTTCAATCATCTGCTATGACTAGTTGCTGAGAAAGTTGTTATAAAAAATTTTTTGTATGATATTGACAGATGCACAAACAGGAAGTTGACATCAGATGACATGCCTCAATAAAGAATGTGCAAAAATTTCAAGCATTTGAAATGAATAGTTGCTGAAAAACTGACACCAAAAATTTGTTACTGACAGACACATAGACAGACAGACACACAGGGATAAACAATATACCACCCTCTCCTTTGAAGCACATGGGAGGGGGGGGGGGTAATAACTACTGTAGCAGTTCGGGCTCTACGGACCGTGGATATCGGCCTGAATAGCTCAGTGGTTAGAGCACCTGACAAGTAATGCAGGGGTCCCGGGTTCGATTCCCGGTCCAGCCATATGTTTTCTTTGTGCATTTCTCCTTTCCTGCTACATTTGGTGGCCAGTGTGGGGGGCTTTGTTCAGGTTACAGTGTTTGTGTAAATTAATAATTCCTCGCAGTGCCCTAGAACTTGTATCTTTGAGGTCAAAGACTATTTAAGGAGGGAGGAATGTAGAAGTTCGAGCTATACGGACCGTGGATATTAGCCTGGATAGCTCAGTGGTTAGAGCACCTAAGTCCTGACTAGTAATGCAGGGGTCATGAGATCGATTCCCGGTCCAGCCATGTTTTCTTCATGCATTTCTCCTTTCTAACTACACTACATTTACATTTATTTATTTTATAATACTATCAGCTTCATAGAATGTTACATGTATTTTCAAATAATTTATAACTTGGTTTAATTTTTGCATATTTTAATCTTTTGGCAGGTTATTGAACAATCTCTGAAAACTGTCAAGTAAAGAGTCAGTACAATTGTAGATATATGCACAGAAAATGAAGAAAAAACTCTACTGAAACCATGGCTTAGATATCAACATAGAATAACTTCTTTTCTCAAGTATATCTCTTTCCCAAGTATTCCAAAAGTGGATCTTTATCAAATTCAAAGTGAAGTATCACAGGGAGCATGTGAGATTGTGAAACAGTCTGCCTAAAAAAATTAAAAGGGAGGAAAACATCTACACGTGTACCAAAGATGGTTGCACACTGTTGTTCTCTATATATATTTTCCTTCTGATTTTCATGTACAGTCTTCTGTGTGATAGTTAAGTTGTGTGCAGTAGTAGTAATTTTACAATTTAAATTCTGAGGTAAAATCCTGTTTTTAGTGTTCATTCAGTTATAGTAATGGGCCACTCTCCTTTTTAACAGCTTGATGTCAAAATATCTCTCAATATTGAATGCTTATCAAATTGTTTAACCGAATAAAAACGTATCACATTTCCAAAACCAGATTTGTTCTTTTTTTCGTTTTAAAAACAACCTCTTTTTAGCTCACCTGAGCCATAGGCTAAAGAGCTTTTCTGATCAAAATTTGTCTGTCGTTGTTGTCATCGTAAACTTATCACATTTTCATCTTCTTCTCAAGAACCACCTGGTCAATTTCCACCAAACTTGCCACAAAATATCCTTGAGTGAAGGGGATTCAAGTTTGTTTAAATGAAGGGCCAAGCCCTCTACCAAGGGGAGATAATTATGAATTAATGAAAAATTAATGGCATCTTTTAAAAATCTTTTCAAGAACCATTGGGCCAGGAAAGATGAAGCTTATATGGAAGCATCCTCAGGTAGTTTAGATTCAATTTTGTTTAAATCATGACCCCTAGGGGTAGGGTTGGGCTACAACTGAAGATCAAAGATTTACATAGGAATATATAGGCAAAATCTTTGAAAATCTTCTTCTCCAGAACCACTGGGCCAGGAAAGATGAAACTGATGTGAAAATATCCTCAGGTAGTCAGGTAGTGTACCAGTTGATTTAAGTTTGTTCAAATCATGACCCTTTAAAGGACGATTTAAGTTTTTCACAGGAATGAATACACTGGAAATTTTTAAAACTCTTCTTTTAAAGAACCACAAAGCCATGATTGGTTATATATTTAAGTAAGCATCCTCATTTAGTGTTGATTCAAGTTTGTTCAAGTCATGAACGGGAAGTAGGGGCTGGATAGGGTGGGCCATAATTGGGGATCAAAGTTTTGCCTAGAAATATAAAGGAAATTTTTTTTCCCAAGAACAGAACAGCCATTTTAATCATATTGAAATGGAGGCATTCTAAGGTAGTACAAAGTCATACAGGTTCAAATGAGGGCTCCCAGGGGTAGTGCTGGAACACAATCGGGGGGGGGGGGGTCAAATGAATGAATAGGAAAAAAATCATCTGCGCAGAAACAGCAAAGGCATTTGTTTTATAGAAGCATCATCAGATAGTTGGTTATTCAAAATTCCAGACTCCAATCCCCATGTAAACTTCTCAATACTGAAATGATTTCTGCGTTATTTCCTTGCCATGGTGCTCAGGTGAGCGATGTGGCCCATGGGCCTTTTGTGAATGAAAAGTGTTGCTACTCAAAGAAACGACCTGTGTCAATGAATGTACAGGTGTGTGAAATATGAAAGCACTGGCAGAGTCTTGGCTAAATTTAAACGTGGGTCAGACTCCAAGGTTACCCCTAGCACAAAATTTCACGCGTTGTAGACAAGGTAAAAATTTTTGGTAAATTCCTCCGAAACTGGTCATACTCCAATGTCAAGATATCAAATATTTTGGTACACAATGAAAGATCCTGAGGGAATACATAAATTATGTTGAATATGAAAGCTATAGCCTCAACAATATAAAAGTTATGGACAATGATAACGTTTTTGTGGACAAATAAACAGAATGGTTGAGAGTGCAAAAACTACATGTATATACCCATATTCTTTGATTCCTGGGGCATAAAACATGTAAAACATAATAAACATACCCCGTAAAAAACATCTTTACCAAAGAAAAATATTGAAAACATTTCAATCTAATTTTGTCTTTCCACTGTCAAATGAAAAATATGCTTTTTAGTCCATTGTCTAAACACTTGAAACACTGAAAGACTTGTTGCTAAGGAATATTCAACATAGCTATTTCCATGGCAACTACTCAAATATTTTAGAATAAACTACGATTCATCCCTTTTCTCAATATTGTTTCATATGATGAATAGATGGGGTCTCGTTTGAATTACAATGTAACGATGTATCACCCTCTGTCTGATCTTAAAATGACCAGTATTATTACTATAACTCACACGCATAGAACATTATACAGCATATTAATAATATATTAAATGAAAGTTTGAAAGGTTTCCATGACAACTGTGCATGTGCCAATGAACACATTAAAATTTTTTTAATGAAATAATCAAATGAATTAATGTTGAGCTAATTGAATTTTTTTTACATGAAAATTGAAAATGAAGATCATAATTATGTCACTTTTTACAACAAAAGCACAATACATGGACGTATATAGTTGCTTTGACAACTAGCAAAACTTATTTAAAAAATCAAAATTATGCACTAATATGCGATACATGTAGATTGATCCAAATTTTAGTTTTTCCAACAACTTTTAATCCAAAAAATATGTATAAACACAAGTATATCTATCTTGAAATATTTCTGAAGTTGCCATGGCAACGATTTTGAAAGTCAATTATTTTGGATTTAAGAAAAAACACAACTTTTATTTTTTTTTTGTATGTTTTTCGTTTAGTTCAAATTCACATTATACTTGATTGAGATGAAAATCTGTCGCTGCATTTTTCTTTAATTTATGCTTTAAAATTAATAAAAAATGCATTTTTCAAAAAAGGGTCAATTTAGCAAAACATTGAGATTTTAGTGATTAAATTAGATACAATGATGATAGACAAATGTAAATGACTTGCATCCTTTTTGTTGCTTTCAGTCTTGTTCTTAAGCATATATATTTATTTTATATTCAAATTTTTCGGTTGTTTGATTATTTTTTATTAAAAAATGTCAAAAACAGTGCTGTGAGAGGCGTCTAGGAGGCCACATTTGAGCCATGTATGGTTACCATGGTAACGGAACCCCAATTAAATTTTTTTTGCTAAATTTCAAGAAAGGGTGTTGAATAAGTAATAAATATAAAATTTGATCAAAATCGGTGACATCACCTTACCACCCATTATTGAGAAATTTTGGTTCTTATAGAGAATGGCTCTTAAGATATGTGGGCTATAGTTTAAAGACAGACCCAGAAAATTACTATAGAGAAAAACTAATGCTGTTCTCTCCATGGCAAAATGAAAGTTCCGATCTTCTGTGTGGACAGCAAAGCTTTGAGCAGTCATTTAACCAGAAATTTTTCTTAGCTCAGAAAATCAAACAGTATGAACACAATGCTGATGCACTTGAGCAGGCAGAACAGATGGCACAAGATGATTTGACAGAGGCATATGATGAATTAGCTCCTGGTGCTCAACAAACTGAGGCAGAAGATGAATATGAAGGGAATGTTGACTCTGAAAAGTTTGTTCACTTTAATCCTGAAAGACCAATTGAACAGAGAGAGTATGATATAGGAAATTATGTTGGAATTCCATCAACAAGACAACTGAGTGAGCAGAGTTCCGTTAGATTACCTGATGATGAGTATTTAAAGCTTGTAGCCAGTCTGAATTTGAAGCAACGTGAATTCTTCAATCATGTTATGCAATGGATCAAATGTAAAGAGGAACCTATTCATGCATATCTCTCAGGAGGTGCAGGCGTTGGGAAGTCGGTGTTAATCAGAGCACTTTATCAAGCTTTACATCGGTATTTATGTGCGAAGGAGGGAGAAAATCCAGATGATATACGAATTCTTCTTTGTGCATACACTGGTAAAGCTGCATTTAACATAGGTGGTCAAACAATTGCTTCTGCTTTTCATCAGAAAATTAACCAAAGGCAGCAAAACATGCATTGTGATGAACTGAACACATTTAGAACTAAATACAGAAATTTGTCAGTTGTCATCATAGATGAAATTTCAATGGTTGGCAATGCAAAGTTGGAATTCATCAACGATAGACTTCAGCTTCTTACTGGTTTGAAGAGGCCCTTTGGAGACATAAGTATTATTGCTGTTGGAGATTGCTTTCAACTTAAACCAATCATGGATGGATGGATTTTTCAGGATTTAAAACAAAATGCCCAAGCACTTGCATGTTATCTTTGGAAAGAAAACTTCACCTTATTTGAGTTAGATGAAGTAATGCGACAAAAGGATGATGTAAAATTTGCACAGCTTTTGAACCGTCTTCGTCACAATGAGATGACTTCTGAGGACTTGGATATAATTCACAAGTGCATAATTGCTGAAAATAGTCCAAATTATCCACACAATGCTCCCCATCTTTTCACAATGAATTTGAAAGTAGATGAATATAACAATAAACTTATAGAGCAACTTCCTGGTGAAAAAGTCATTGTAAAAGCTGTTGACAGTGTCCTCCAAGACCATAGTAAGTCTGTGAAAGACCGACTGCTCAGATCATTGCAAAATCAAGATGATGTAAGCAAAACTGCAAATCTTATGACAAGACTAACTCTAGCCATTGGAATGATATATGGCATTACAGTTAATATTGATGTTACTGATGGCTTGACAAATGGTTCATCATGTACTGTATATCTTGTTGAAAACAGATTACCTGGTGTATCAAGGCCAAGTATAGTGTGGGTAAAGTTTTTAGATTCTGCAGTAGGGAGAATTGCTCGACAGAAATACAGACATCTTTTCCATGATGATGTTATGGATGACTGGACACCAATATTTGACTGTCAGCGATCTTTTGTTTTCAATTCAACTACATATCAAAGAATACAGTTTCCTTTAAGACCAGCTGCTGGTAAGACAATCCATAAGGCCCAGGGCTGCACTGTTGATGAAATTGTAGTAGATTTGTCGCAGTCAAGGACGAGGAAAACACCACACATTCATTATGTAGCTCTTAGTACAGTTAGATCTGTTGATAAGTTGCATATTCTGAATTTCAATGAGCAAGCATTAACTGTTGATGAAAAAGTTGTAGAAGAAATGGAAAGAATGAGGAAGGAAGCACCTCTAAAACTGTGTTATATTCCATTGTACAAAACAGAGCAGAACAAATTAAAAATAATGTTTAATAATGCAAAATCTCTTCACAAACATTTCGATGAAATCAAA